CCTTCAAATATCAGAGTTATCAACCAAGAATTGAAGTGTATCAAACTCATTTTTCTTAGAACTATTGTAGAGTGGAACTTGCTAAGTACAGTAGGTGCATTATCATTAGATAACTTTAAACGACGCTTGCACTTAGATGTGCCAGCTGCTGCTGTGTCATGTGCCTGCAAAGCTGGTACATTACACTGAAGGACGGTTATACAGGCTATACAGATACAGATAGATACAGGAGCTGGCCTGTATGGGCCCTGGAAACAGTCTGGTATCCAGGCTAGCATGCCAGAGGCACCCCCCTTAGGTTGAAGAATTCCAGTAATGCCCAGCCAGCTGACTGCTGAAGTCTCCCTGACATAGTGCGAGGGGAATCCTTGACCGTTTTTGGCACACAGTTCTTTAAAATACAGCTGAGAAGCATTTCGTGAACAGTAAATTTAAAATTTCATTCATTTGAATATAACTTTACATGTACTCAAGCTAGGATCTCAGTCAACTACAGATCAGTGCATTCTATCAGTAGAACTCTAGCGAAGCATTTGTGGGAATCATGACAATCCTAGCTGCTGAGAGGAGTGATGGAGTTGTTAATCATATCAATGAAAGGTTTGTCACCATATCAACCTTCCAAGCTGTTGTTACTGCTACTGTCATGTTACTGATGTTGAAGTTTAGGCCCATAGGCTTCGGATTATTTTTGACATATTTCTTCGGATTATTTTTAACGTATTTTAGGCATTTTTATCAGGCTTTCTTGTTTGTACTGGTGTCATTTTTTTATGCCAGCCATACGGATACTGCCTGGCAAATTTGATACTGTCTTGCAGCCACCAAAAGATCTGCTTGGAGATTAGATGTTGATAACATAATTATGTGCTTAGACAGGCATACAGAAGTAGCCAAGGAGTCCTACAAGGGCAAAAGCGATAGTTTCAAGTTTTATGTTTTTATCTGCCGTTATTTTCTGTCATAGTTTCAGCTAATTGTTTGAGAAATGAGCAATGAATAACTCCTGTCATTGGCTGTGAATATTAACCTAACTAGAAAGGCCAATATTTGCTTTGGAGCAAATACAGCGATGGGTTCACCACATTTTACGACATGGCAGGGAAATAATGGGAAACACAAGGGAAAACAATGATTTACATTGATATAACTATAATATGAAGTAAAATACAACTAAAACAACAGTTGGATAGCTATTCCCTACTTTATTGGTTAGGATTTTTAATTGCATACTGCAAACTGTTGATTTTCAAAATAAAAAAAAACGTCCATGCCCGGCATTCCAATGCTGGAGCAGGAAAGCTTGAAATACCTACCAAAACACTTGAATACAGACATACTGTCAGTATGGACATGCTTCTGTGCAGGTGTTAATCAAGTTAAATCCCAACAGCCAATCAGCAAGAAGTATAGATGAAAGCTGCATGCCTATTGGTTGATGCCCTGCATTCCATTCTGATGACTCATGCCCAAACGTGGTAAACAAGGCAGACTAACACAGTAATACATTTGCTATAACACAGCCAAAAAACTCAAATAAAACCATTCTAAAAGCCTGTATCACAATAATTTAAAAACGCCTAGGGGTATTTGCCCACTGTACCTCCATACCAAATTTCAGGACCTTGGGCCCTAAAATGAAGAAGCTGAATCCATTTAAAAAATGGCAGGAGAAGAAGGAGAAGAAACATCAGAAAAAGCAATATGGTTTCACCACACCACTTCGTGGTGTGGTGAACCCATAATTAAGGCAATGGAGCAATTAAGACTGATGCTGATGATTGACAATAGACAGGGACCGAAGCACTCTCCATTTCTGACTGTATAACCCTGAGAGTTGTATAGCACAAGGTCAGATCAGTTGGAGGCAGGAATGTGGATGGCAAGATGGGAATGATAAGAATTCAAGGTCAACTTCATTTTCTTGGTTATACAATTCATACATTTGAAATAATGATAGGCAGTCACTACATGATGAAGGATGTCCTCTAGACTTACCATGAGTGCCCTGATTTATAAATATTTATGAAGTTATGTGTTAACTACAAAGGAAACATTTGCAAAGCAAAGGCATAATCATAATGTTTACCTTCACATGGTCTAGCATAAAATTGTAACAAACTATTGCTCTGTTCATTCATGTATATAATGACCAGCCTGTCCAACACTTGCTACATAATGTAATCCAACACCACAGGGTGTCTGCTACTGTGCCAGTTACCATGGAGATAGCAGTCTGGTCTAGGTCATTGATCTTTTTTTCTGCAGAACATAGATCTAAGGATCAATCAATTCAGGTGACAGGTGCCAGACTATTTCTACGGTATGTGGAAACAATCAAATGAGAAGCAAAGAAACTGGGCCTAGAAAGGGCCAGATTCCAGGCTAGAAGAGTAGAAGGTCATGGTCAGGGTGGTGAGAGGCTGATGAAACACAGCAGGGTAGTTATCAAGCCACGACTTCAACAGCTTGTACATGTTAGCCCTGCACTGCCTGTCTTAACTCTGTAAATTTTATACATGTCTGAACACTTCGCATTGGCATGTTGTGGGAAGGAAGAACAACTTTTGATAAACACTGTGTTGGTAAAACAAAATATTAGGAAGTAGGACTGGTTCAGTGGTTGGCTTGACAACATATCCGACTCTGAGCATGGTGGTAGAACGTACTGCGCCTGCACAAAACCCAGATTTTTCACTGTTTTGTTGGATCTTTGGTGAAAGTTGCATTAGAATTTTGCCTGTTGCAAAATGATATCTTTTCTGACACAGCATTTGAATTACATGTACTACTAGCTGATACTGTGACCACATATTTCATACAGACATGCTATAACAACTTTCGAACTTGGAACTTGTCTTCCAGAGATGGCCACAGTTTCAGTCCATTGGATTTTTTGTAAATTACCATAAATTATGTTTTTTGAAATGACATTTCTAACTTTGAACTTGACCATGTCTTTCAGGGATGACCACGGCTTCAGTCCATTGGACTTTTGTAAATGGCTAACGCAAGGTTACCAGTTTACGGTCGAATTATGGAAAATTCCATTTTTTGTGAAAACGCATGGGCAGAACTAAATATTTAACCCATGTGAAGAAACAGTAGTTTGTCGGTTATAAAAGTGTGTGCCGTGTCATTTCTTCCCTGCGTTTTTTGTGCCGTGCCAGCTTTTATTTATTTAGTAGTTAACAGTGGAGAATTGCTCTAGCGTGACCAATTAACGGTCACTTGGACCTTTGTCCTTGTAGTGCTCTACTTATAAGCGCAAATAAACAAACACCTTCTGCAAAAAAATACCGAAGTGGTCAACAACAAACCACGGTAAAATGTCAGTGTGTAGCCCACTGTCCCATGCAGTAGCGCTGTGGTGCTAAATGAGGCTGGACCTGCATTTTTCCCTCAGTAGAACGTGACATAATGGCCCAAGATGTTCCATAAAACCGTTGCAATAGATTACAAGCGTCTATGCCCCTCCAGACAAAACGGAACGTCGTGAAAACCCGAGCAAACTTTTCGCTGCGGACGCAGGAAGCCATTTTGGCATTTTTGCATAAATTAATGGGCAACAGCGCCACAGTGCGACTTTTACAAACCTTTCTGCAGTTCAAAACAGTGACGTCACCTGATGTAACGATGATGATGATTAAAATGGCGTTCGAAAAACGCTAGTCGGCGACAGCTGTCGCTGTACTTTTGCTCATTTATATCAAGGTGTTTGAAAGTTTCATACCTCAGAACACCATGGATGATTGAGATAAGAAAGCCAGGTTTGATGCCAGCTATTGTTACAATTTTCTAGCATTCTTGGGATTTTTAAAAAATCGACGAAATGTTGAGTATTGTATTATGTGAAAAACACAACATGCGTCCAAGTCCATGTTACCTTGCTGTCCCGTCATATCGGAAGATACTCTGCTGTGTCGCTGAATGCAAACTTATTCCCATCCAGTGAATAAATAAAAGACACATATAAGGATTATATTCATGTTATTCTTTGTTGCTCACGACCGTTGATTTTTGGCTGGTACATCTCGAAGTGTGGCCGTGTCACTAACTGACCGTAAACTGGTCCTGCACGTAAACTGGTAACCTTGCGTTATATGTTTTTTAAAGTGACAAGTCTAACTTGAACCTTGACCGTGTGTTCCAGGGATGACCACGGCTTCAGCCCGCTGCACTGGGCGGCCAGGGAGGGCAGGTTGAACATTGTGGAGCTGCTGATTGGTCGAGGAGCCCGCATCAACGCCTGTAACATGGGGGACGACACGGCTCTTCATCTTGCAGCCAGCCACGGGCACAGGGACGTTGTGCTCAAGGTCAGTTCAAGGACAGTCCGACTAAGGTCCCATTTACACCTGGGCTCTGGCCAGCTTGTAATTTTTTTCTGTCAACCCAGGTTCATGATCGGACCTGGGGGAGAGTGCTACGGAGTACAAATCTTCTCTGGGTGGCTGGTTGTAGGATGGCCAGCAAAAGAACGCATTAAAGAGTCTATAAAATGCAGTGTCACTATCAAAACTCCCACCTGCCCAGAGGCCTGCACAGGAGGCTAAACATTCACATATATGGACAGGCCTACATGTAGAACCATATCCCATGGTAGGACTACTGACAGTATGCCCATATTTGGCTGTATTGTCTGCCTCCATATTTGGTCAGGTTTGGCTGACTGGACTGGTGGAAACTAATCAAGAAGGATAAATTGAATTTCCAGAGGTCCAATGACGCTCCCTCAGTGTCTGTCCCATCTGTCTCCTGTGGGACAGCTTAACCAGTGTGTCATTCTCTCCTGATTGACAGTTCACCTAGATCATTACAATCCATAACATGTACAATTACCCAACTTCCCTACTAGCTGCCTCAATAGATTATAAAGTTAAATGGTAAGCAATGGACTTGTGACAGATAGCAGACCTCAAAGCATTAGGCAGGAAATACAAGGTCAGAAGGCATTCAACATTGGAGCCCCTTTAGCTGAATGGTGCATCTTTAGTTTCGATTAGCCGCCAGTCCTGTTTTGTGTAGCTTTGATTCGTGTTTAGTCAGCATGTCCGCAGAAGGTGCTGTGCCTGGGCAAAATCCGTGTGGTGTTGTGTATAGCATTTGGGCAGGATGTCTAATTTAAGGTCATATTTACACATTTAAGAATGACATTCCGGGTATAGTTTTCAAGTGTTGTGTCTGCAACGGGCAAGTTCTGATGCAACGTTGAGAAAACAGCCAATGAAAACTGAAAAATCTAGGCGCAGTACATACTGCTTGCTTGCTTGCTTAGTCAAGATTTTTATCTGTCAGCTAAGGAAGTGGAAAGAATTTCCCATGCAGTGACTGTTGAACTTGTAAGGTTAGACAGTCATGGCTCACTACCAGCAAATAAGGTTGACTGTGGTTCCCGAAGTGTTGCCAACAGTTTCCCAGACTCTCCATGGTCTGTGGACCAGACTAAACTTCCACCCACTCCCAGAACCCTGCTGCGGTAGTTACTAACACTGCTGGTCTGTCTTTCTGCCTAGGGGTGGAAATACCCACTCTTAACGCACAAGTCATGGTTTCTGTGTGAGACTGTTGCCGGCCGCAAAACTTACGACTTCGGAAATAAACTGTGTCCTGCCTCAGCCAGCATGTGAACAAGTGGCCTGGCTTATGGCTTGCCTTGTAACATGAACAGCCAGTTATGGAAACCTGAAATATTATTGGCAACCTAGCTTTTGGCAAGGCAACCGAAGAAAAAAAGTATTTCGAACCCTGACTTTCATAATTCCACCGGGTACACCAAGACCGGTACAATAAAAATTAGAGCTCCACAACGTCATGCTTTTGCCGAATGATGTTAACCTTTATGAATTACTATAAATGCTTCTCATTGATTATGAAAAGGAGATACTCATTTCCTTAAATTATATACACAATTAGATAACAATCAGTACTTTGTCTACTTGCAACTTACATTGAATTATTTTTACCCTCCCTACAGCTGCTGCAACACAAGGCTGACATCAATGCAATGAATGAACACGGCAACACACCTCTGCACTACGCCTGCTTCTGGTCACAGGACATCATCGCAGAGGTTTGTTTGTTTGTTTGTTTCTTTGTTTGTTTTATTAAGATCTCCATTAGTGATACCCAATTTAAACCCATATCTTCTTGGAAAAGAAGGATAAAAACACTTGTCTTCTTGGGATAGAAGATTCTGAATAAATTTCCTCACTCAAATGAGTACTTAGGTTTAGATTTGTATTTAGGAGTGTCCTCTCGGATAGGACTGGGGAGGTGTCGAAAAGACAACCAAAACAGTACCAGTCTGTAAGACTATTTTTGTCAGGTCACAACAAGGTTATGGATATTTTAATGGATGTCAGTTAGTGGGGGGGGGGAGGTCAGTGTCAGAGCATGCTGGGATTTATGTCTCTGACAGCTGAGGATGCTGGGAATGCAACGAGAGGGACAGAGCTGTCATATTTGTGTGAAAATATTTACATGTCAAGGCCCTGTTTAGGTTTGAGTGAAATTAGATAGCTGAGCTGGAACACAGAAATATCTGATCGTAGATATATTTTGAACCTAGAGGTTGCAGTATAGCTATAGCTGGGTGACCAAATCTTTTACAAAAACATTTGACAAAGAACTAAATTTCTTCAATTTTTTGTGTCTTGTTTTCATACTCCTTGCATCATATTCTAATGATATGAAATCAAGGGTCATACAAATCCAATTTTGTTGTGACTAGAGTCAGGAATGGCTGCACAACAAAATTGTCAGCAACTGGCAAAATTCCAAATGCAACATTGATCAAACATCCAACAAAATCAACCTTTCAACTAGACTTTAGTTGCAGATAATATATCCTTTTCAATACAACATTTACATTGTAAAAACTGTTGATGGTATTTCATCCTTAAATATGCAAATATGACAAGACGTGCCAAAGTGCTATGTACAATACATTACAGGTTTTGTACAGGCACAGTACGTTCTGCCAATGTGCTTGTGTAGTACAAATCCTGTCCAAAGTAGGCAGACTTTCCTACTACTTGATCTGATAAGCTTGGTATTGGCTTTCCCCTCTCATTACATCGTTGATATGCAGCTAAGGCAACAAGGCCATGGTAATTGGGTTTAAATCAGACATTGTGATGACTTCATCCTCAGTGTTATTGGCAAGGCTTATTATGTGTGTTGCTTTCATTGGCAGGATTCAAGTATTCTTGTCTTATCATATCAACTATGCTGAGCTCTCAATTTGCCCAGAATTGTCGGACAGTTTGTCTATCAAATTTGTTACATGTATTCCTAGTTCTGTCTGATTATTATCATTCATGTTACGGATCTGGAAGCTAAAAATATTATGTAACAGAAGAGGTAAACTTGTTCAGGTTGTTTTGTTTTGTTTGTTTGTTTGAACCTTTATTTATTCATGAGACCATGAGGATTGTTATTAGGAGCCAGACAAAATACAGTGAATCGCAATTTTTTTGCAGTACTTAATATATATTTGCAGTTTTTGTGTTCACTTCGGTGCTGCGAACAAATAATTTGCCGAATTTCTTTTTTGCACCTGCCTCCACCATGAATGTATAGTTCCTGGAACTAAAAAAAAGGACGCGAACATTAAGTGATTTAATTTTACAGTATAAGAAAGATACAGATTACATGATCAGAAAAGGAGGTGATTTTGCCAATTGTCTCCACCCAAGTTCATTTGACCCAGTTGTTGTTGAAAGTAGTCCACCCCCAGTGGGATGTGTGTATTCTGGGCTCTTCAGTACCTTTTAGGGTTAGAGTAGTTTCCCAGCTGTTGACTTGAATGGAAAGCATCAGTACAAACTTGGAGAGCTTCCATGGATTGTTAATCCCCCTGCCACTTCTGCATACTACATGTAGGAGGAAAAGTGGCAGTCTCTTCTTAAAGGCGTCTAAATTGCAATTTTAGGGTGGCAAAACAAAAATATTCTAGATGAGGATATCTGTCTGATAAATGACATTTACTGCTATTTCTTAGCACATTGTTGTCCTCATTTCATACTTGAACTTTTGAGTTAAAATAGTCCAGAGTCCCTTTATTTTTTGGTACAACCAATAAATATAAAATATGTAGCTACATATTGTAGAACCAGCCTACATTACAAAACAAAACCTGTTTTTCTTTAGCCACATCGCATTTTGCCTCACAGATACATCTTATGATCTTAAATGTCATAAATATGTTTTCTGTTATAGCTATTGATACTAAATGTGTGCAGATAAACAAAAAGAACAAACAGTTAAAAATTTATTATTTTCCTGTTCCAGGACTTGGTTACGAACGGTGCGCTGGTTGGTGTGTGCAACAAGTACGGGGAGACACCTGTGGACAAGGCCAAGCCACATTTGGCCAAGCTCGTCAAAGGTACCTTCATGAAACAAAACATTCTTGGAAAATAGATGTATCATATTTCTCCTTCTTCCTGCTGCCTTCTGACATTGTGTGCACCCAGTGCATCAATGCACCTACCAGGTATTCCATAATTGAATTTCGAGCCCTGTGGAAGTAATAGAGAATTGGCTGCAAAAATGGGTATTACCGGTAGTACTTCAGTGTGCTAAAGGTTATCCTGTAGATCTTCAATTTGAGAAGCAATTTTGAAATTGCATTTGTGCTATGTTTGTTTTTTCTTGTGTGTGGGTGGGGAACAAATGTTTGGGAATAGAATAGATTTTGTATGACAGTTCAGACAGTCTTGCCTAACTACATGTATGCTGACTAGGTTATGTTTTTGTTACACACAGAGAGGGCGTCGGCTTTGGGCCAGGAAACTGGAAAAGTGCCTTACAAAGGTAAGATATTTTGCACCATCTCAAAATGTATAAGGGACAGACCAGGTTGCTCTTGGCACAATGAATATTGGTATAATAAGACTTCGAGAAATTGTAAAAGAATATAAGATTTGATTAAACCTTCTCTTTGCTCTTTAGGAAGCCCTGCAAATTACCCTCAACAATCCCTCCATGTCCATCCAATGCTTTCCTGTCTTTCTAGATTAGTTGTAGCACTTTATTCATATTACAATGTATGATGATGATGATATTATAGAGTATATGCAAACCTTCCACATACATTGTAAACTCTTCACTTCTATCTGTGCTGCTATTGGCTCTCACACAAAGGAACAGTACATCGTAAGTATAATGTCAAAAGTTAGAACCCTTCCTTTTGTGGTATAACAAGTATAGGGGCGGTGCCAATGTACTCATCTGAATCAATTCTTAAATTTTATATTCTTGGGGCAAAAGTCTGAAAGTATATGTATTTGATAGTCTAAACATTTACTTGAACATCATATTAATTTTCCCCTCAGAAGCAATTAACAGCCAAACAGCAAGAAGAAACACCTGCAACTTGGTCAATCAGGGCATGCATTGTAGAATACTGCATGTCTATTGGTTCTTGTTGTCCATATCAAATATTTCCCCCCTTATTCCTTTTCTTTTGTCCAGCTTCACACATTGTATGCCACCTTTTGAGTTTCTACACATGTAACAAAGTGTGTTTATTCCCATAGCCTGCATAACAATAGCCAACTTCAAAACAAAACAACTTACAACAGAATGGTCATGTTGTTGTATTTGATTGTAACTGTATTGGCAAACAAAGTAATCCTCACTAAGCTTATGTTAATCATAATTAGATTGATTTAACATACAATGAACTTTTTCCTATGAATGGTATTCTGGGCGTATTAGTTAATCCAGAACATAAAGGATTAATATTGATCTTTACTCAAGGATTTAGTCCTTCTGTGTGAGATGATACTGATCTACCTACTTGTCTTTGATAATGCTAATCTCCTGTCCTGTCCTGTACTCTTCACACTGCTCCACACTACTTCAGAGAGTTTACTTCATAAAACACAACGTAGGTCCACTTTTTTCACAACATTGCTACATTATATGATGAAAAGTCTCCCAATGCTATTAGTATTTTTAAAAAGCCTCCTACCAGCTGCCTCCTACTGTTTTTGTATGAATGCAACTCTCATGATATTTCAGATTTGTTCAAATGTTCTTCTTTCCTTTTCCTTTGCAGAAAACATTTGGAGAGGAACAAAGACAAGAAGTAGTAAGTTCGGACGTTTTACTACAAACATCTTCCCCATTTGACGTGTCTTATGAAGTTGTTTGGATTCGCATCTAATGCTGTTTGATATGTCATACACTGTATGTAGTGTACAATACCTTTTAAGCTTGTTGAAGGTAATTCTTCATTAATTATATTCAAGTGCATACAGCTGCTCACATTTCAGGTGCACTAAGTACATTTGTAAGGTGTATATGCAACAAGCACCGGTACTTCGAGTCCTGCATATAAACATACGTTTCCCACTCTTCTGCTTGTCCCCAGGAAATGGAACTCTCTCCAGGCACTCCGGTATTGACATCAAGCAGCTCAACCTACAGGTCAAAATGAACACAAACGCTTCAGGAGAGGTAAGTCCTACAGCTGAGTTTTTGTTTGCTACATGTACATGTAAATGTTTCACATATACATGTAAGCCGAGACACCACTTTGAGGTGTAACCAGTTTGTAAGCACAAGTTTTGTATGCACAAGCTAGGTAAGACCAGACTGGTTGGTATAAGGCACTCACACTAGGATAGACCTCTACTCAGATATTTGACTTTTATAATTTTTAATTTTTCCGGTAGTGTTTACCTTTGATCATGATGATTGTCACTGTTTCCCACCCAGCTCTGGAAGGGCATGTGGCAGGGCAATGAGATAGTTGCCAAGATCCTGAAGGTGAGAGATATCAACGCAAGAAAAGCCAGGGACTTTTCTGAAGAGTATCCAAGACTAAGGCAAGTTTCATCCTGTTTTATAATGCCTTTTTTGCATTGAGTTTGATATTCCATAGTTTACACAATGGAAGTCACATCTGGATGTCACCACATTTGGGTGGGGAATTCCATAACCACAGACCACAAAAGGTCTGACACAGGACATTAGGTACGTAGCTGGCCTGGAGCCAGCAGAAAGTTGGCTGATAGACTGTAGTTGGCTGATAGACTGAGTTCCAGAGGGAAAATACAGAGAGAAATTCATATTAAACTATGTAAAGAAATTCACAAAAACTCATGGAGGTATGGAATCTCTGACCTCTGGTTTACTTAGAAACCTGTGTTCTAACTTTGTTGTAAGTCTGTTTGTATGACCATGTTACAGGATTTTCTCCCACCCCAACGTGCTTCCTGTCCTGGGTGCCTGTAACCAGCCGCCACACCTCGTAGTTATCAACCAGTTCATGCCGTACGGTTCGCTCTTCAACATCCTGCACGAGGGCCATGGTACGTACTGTCAGTCTCAAACTGTTTGTTACTAGAACATAGACTTATGGGCTCCCAAGCAGCATTCTAGCCAGTGCCCGTCTTTCCGTCATTTGATGGGATTTTGCCGTTCGTGACGTAAAAATTTTGCCCAGTTTGTCATCTTTGACAGACAAAACTCAATGTATAAAGGTATGGAAGGCGAATCATTAAACTATGCTTAGTCTATTAGCAAACCTTGCCCCTCACACGCCACAGTGCAGTAAATGGAGTTTCAGGGGGTCAAGATTTTTAAAGACATTTTCCCTTGTGAATGCCTCAAGACACCCACATTATAGAATTTTGCATTCAGCACTCAACATGATGCTACGTCAAACAAAATTTAGTTGCAGGAAAAAAATTCAGGCTGGCTAGAACACTGTTCCCATGTCTTCTGACACCTAAGGCAGTCATTGGGGCATTCCAACAAGCACAGTCAACAGCCAGTACTGTATCTCTATATGTACTTTTAATAGTTTTACTGTTTACTGGAAAATCTTTTCCCCAGTTTAAGACTGATGAAAGTCTGGTAACATGGCCTAGCTAACATCGCTTGCAGATTATTGTGGACACTGGCTGTGGATTGGCTATACTTGCTCTTATGGCTGAACCGTTTGTGGTGGTTTTATTTTATGCTGTATTGCAAACTCTGCAGTCTACCATTGCAAAGCACTGTCCTTCAGAATTCTGTCTGTTACTGCCATTACATATTACATAGGCATACATACACAACCATGTACATATAAAAGAGATCTTCAAAGCAGTGTCCTCCAGTTGAATGCACTCCTACATAAGCTAAACTGTACAATGTACATAGATGTACTTGTACACGGGGGGTGCTGCACTTGAGATCTTTCAAACACACAAAGTGGCAGATATGCAGCTGAATTTCAAGTTGACAGTGCTATCCATTTGTGTCAGTCCACAATAATTTTATATGCTCAAATCGATAAGTTTCTCAGCGAGACACAAAAAGTAGCCTGCACGTTAATGCTTGCCTTAAAATGCATGCTTGGCAAGATTGGTGCCCTATACCCTTTCTCTACCTCTAGAAATCCAACAAGCCAAAGTGAACCTGTTGCATGTGTGCAGGTGATACACTTCACCTGTAGTTGTACACCTGAACAGCTGCATGCAGGTGCAAAGCTCTCTCTTTTCTCTGCCTACCTCTTCTCTTTCAACCAAAGCCATCATTGGATACCATAAGTCATCTATTGGTGAGGATTTACTGCTTTTGAGACACAGGCAAGGGATAAAATCTTAGTCTTGAGATCTTAGCCGTACTTCAGATTTATCTTTTGGAGGGATCAGGAAGGATTAGCAGTAGTATCCAGTCTTTGATTACTTGTATCAGTCTCAAATTCTTTGAGCATTTTTTCTGGTTGTTTTGCCTTGTTTTTCTTTTATTTCTGTCAACTTTTGCATGCAATTATTTTACTATCCTGTTGTTAATGGTTGTGTTTATTCTTACCCTATCTCTCCTTCCTTGTCCATCCTTTGCAAATCTTCACTACCGGGTGTAATGTAGCCACTTGAGCTGACATGTAGTGGACAATAGTTCACACCCCCATTCCACTAGAACCACTCAACCACTGAGTGAGCAATGAATGACCAAATATTTGACAGATCGCTCAGCAAATTCTATACATAAAGAACCAATCTTTTAAAACAATTGTCTGTTTATATTACAGTGTTTTCTTGTGTTTTAAATCAGACTTTTGTATCATACCAGTAACACAAATCAAATTTGGGTAGCTTAACTAGCCTTTTACTAGTGGAAAAGGGGCCTTTCATAATTACATTTGTCCACATTCTTACTGTATTGCAGTCAGTAATTAAGTCTGTTAATGAACCTTATTACTGTATGCTGTCTTCAGTTTCTGTAGCCATACTTATTAGAGAACAGTGTGGGTTAGATTCCTTTTTTTCATCACATGGTTCCAAAACTGAGGGTGTGTTCTCAACCCCAGCAATAGTTGAGACAGACTCTCCTTTTGAATGATGTGCCCTCAACAAACCAGATTGATTTCTGCCCCCTGCATGTATTTGTACTCTTGTAACATGTTTTTGATTCTGTTTTAGATAGAGTTAAAATAAATCAAAATCTTGCTAAGAGGGCCCTTTAGTATCATCTCCAGTATGACTGACAGATAGATGTTTGCTGCAGGTATTGTGGTTGACCAGGCGCAGGCGTTCAAGTTTGCGCTGGACGTGGCACGAGGGATGGCCTTCCTCCACTCCCTGGAGCCCATGGTACCCAGACTGTACCTCAACAGTAAACACATCATGGTGAGGACAAGCTGTCCTTCTTTTTCCATATTGCATCTTTCTTAATCTCAATCCCCTTATTTTGTTAACCTTTGCAGAAGGAAAACATTGATTTTGCTCTGTTTCTTTATCTACTTCTGGTCAACGATCTGGACCAGATGGCTGTCAGCATGGTAACAGGTGCTGTAGCAGACACCCTGTGGTGTTGGGTTATACATGTATTATGTTGCAAGTAGCAGGACTAAGTTGGAGGGGCTGGTTACCATATATATATACATCTAGATGTGTGAATATATAAGATGAAAAGAGCTATAGTTTGTGGGGCTAGACCATGTGATGCTGAACCTTATGTATTTGCTTTGTAAATGTTACCTTTCTAACATTACTATGTTGTTCCTTCACAGATTGACGAGGATTTGACAGCAAGAATCAACATGGCCGATGTCAAATTCTCCTTCCAGAATCCCGGCAAGCTCTTCAACCCAGCGTGGTTTGCACCAGAGAGTAAGTATTAACAACTTTCCCACTTGGCATGAAAGTTCATCCTATGTTCTTAAACAACATGGTCATGCTGCCCATTGTCTTTATTGAGTAATTGTTGGGGTGTGCCCTAGTGACGATGCCTCTACTCTTTTTGGGGGCAACAAATTCCACTCTACCACTGTGTCAGTTCTAGGAAGAAGAACTTCTTCAATGCCTCAGTCCTGGGTTGATAACACTGGTACTTGAAGGCATTTTTTTTAAATCTTGTTCTTATACATAACCAGTGAAGACTTTTAAGTGTCACTGTTATGTAAAGAGGTTAAGGCACATTGTAGTTCATATGGTAAGACAGTACTCGGCATTGCTACTGCCCCTTGGGTGGTGGCAGGATTCTTGCATAGTCTGGACTTTTTTCTGATGTTTGCTGGATTCGCCTGTGTCCCTCAGTCCTGCAGAAGAAGGAGAATGAGATCAACAAGCGCGCTGCGGACATGTGGAGTTTCGCCATGCTGATGTGGGAACTCCTCACCAGGGAGGTGCCTTTCGCTGACCTGTCACCGATGGAGGCTGGCATGAAGGTATCATGAACATTCATGGCTCAAAATACTCTTTTCTTTATACCTGCACTGATGCTGGTAGCCTTGAAAATTACCTGCACCTGACAGAAGGAAAATACATAGTTTTTCTTTGTTTCTTCTTCCTCTCCAAACATATAAGGTCAATGACCTGAATCTTGACAGCTGTCACCATGGTAACTGGTGCTGTAGCAGACACACTGTGGTGTTGGCTTACATTATGTAGCAAGTTGCAGGACAGAGTTGGAGGGGCTGGTCACCATATTTATGAATGTGTTGGAGTAAACAGAGCAGTAGTTTGCCAGGCTAGACCATGTGAAAGTAAACAATCATGCAGTTGCTTTGCAAATGTTAGTTTCTAGCGTTGACTTTTATTTCCCGTGTTGTTTCCACAGATCGCTCTGGAAGGCCTGCGCCCGACCATCCCACCCGGAGCCTCCCAACACGCCTGCAGGCTCATCAAGATCTGTCTAAACGAGGACCCGGCCAAGCGGCCGACCTTCGACATGATTATACCCATCTTAGAAAAGATGCAGGAGAAATCTGAATAAGTCTCATCTTTCATGACGTCTTTAATATTATCTGTTCATATCTTAGATAGATTTTTAAAGTTGCAACATTTGGGCAAACAAGGGCAGAAGTGAGGTCTTTGTTCTAATAATTATACTTAAACATTATTATTATGGTATACTTAAGGGGACTTTAGCCATGCATACTATTGGTACTTACAACGTATTCTCATAAAATAGGGTTATTCTTAAGGTATGGCATTCATGAGTATGTGCTGTAATTATGTAACAAGGGAAGTTGTGTGGGTCTTGGTGTCTGGTAATGCTACAAGACAATCAACAAGGTCAGCACAGACAAGCTTAGAGGATGCCACTTGCTTGGTATGTACATGTATTATGTTGTATTTTAATATTGATAACTTAGTGTTAATAACGTCAAGCTTTGAGTGAGAAAGGACATGCACGTATTTCCCTGGCACTTAAAACAACTAATCTGCAATATTTCTTAGTATATTGTATTTGTTATCTGATCAAAGTGAGCTGATGAGAATGAATGTCGATGATTTAGTTTTCCTTGTATCATATATAATGAGTATTATTTTTAATTGTATTGAGTGATTGGTAACTGATTTTTGAGCCTGCATGTGTTGAGATGACCCCTATTTGTGTTCAGTTAGGGAAGCCACAATGAAAATCAGACTTCATGAAATAGCCACATTTGAAGAATGATAGTTTTTTTTTTACCTATAAACATGTAGCAGATACATTTTGTACTCGCGAGAGAAATGAAAAGAACCCAAAAAAAATGCCATGTATGAATTCTTTGATTTCATCCATCGTAATGATTCTTAGAGAATGCTCTAAATCATCTAAATGTGGTTGTCTTGAATTAATTTGCTCATTTCACATTAATGACGTTAAAAGGTATGAGGATGGTAGCAGGGGGTGTTTCAGGTATAAAGGCCATAGAACAGTCATGAGTGAAAAAATCTCATCATATGAAAATATCATATAAGGATTGTTAATATATTTAATGACAGTATTTTGTGTATAGCTAGTAGAATAGATATCTTGCATACGTACCCCATGTGGGTATACATGTATTGGGCTGGGATTGTGGCAGCTTTTTGTTGCAGCTTTGGGGAAAGCTGTTGATAATGTCTTCCTGCAAGATAGAGCTATGTTAGGTGTCTGCTGACTGCTCACAGTGTAGTGTTTAAAAGATGCAGGGATTGTCAGAACTAATGGCATACATAATCTACTTGAGTACGTCAGCAAAACGTATGGGCAGCCTCACCAGACAATGTATTGCACATAGCACTTCGACAGAATGTATTGTTCAAGTATTCGCATAATTAAGGATAGCATCCCATCTATAGTTTTCAAATGTGTTGGAAAAGATGTTGTCCTGCAACTGGCAAAATTTTGATGCAACGTTGACCAAACTTCCAATGAAAATTGTGAAAAATCTGGGCTCAGACACACTATGTTCTGCCGATGTGCTGTCGACTCAAAGATTGATGAATAGGTAGTTTATCTATGTCAGAACTAACCCATAGATGCTTGTTCCTGAAAGTGCCTTGAATCTCATACCTTTCTTGATACTGTACTTCGAACAAAAGTGTGATTTTGGTAGAATTTACTAAAGCATCAAGTATTATGCAAGTGTTAAAAGATTGCAAGGTTCATCTTCACATACAATGTAACTAGTCATATGATTAACATAGATGCCCTGTATGCATTCAAGAGATATACTAGCTTTGCACATCTGCTTGCTATTCCTAAATACACTTGAAGTTTTATATATGCATGTATAACATTCTTCTATCTGTATTGCAACTATACCATGTATAATTTCAAGAGTATACAAAAAGGGATGTACTAGTCTTTCCTCCACCTAAAATGTGTGCTAACAAGCTATGGATATTTACTACAGTTTCAGTTGGACATGTTTGGTATTTGTTGCCATAGAATTTTCTATAGGTAATTTTCAAGGAGTTGGGGAAAATTGTTAACTTAGAAGCTGTATTTTGTTTTGCAAAGTTTAAACTCAGTGAAGCATTATAATATTTTCTTGCTCACTTATTATGTAAGACTGGAAGATATCTTCAATCTAGGTCACTATAGTTGTATGCTAATCTCCAAGCAGATTTTTCAGTTCAAGGGTTTTCAAAGGACAAGACAAATTTGCAAATTTTCAGAAGTGCCACTTATCCACAAGCTTTCAGGCCTTGATACAAAATAAATCAAGTAACTGGATAAATTGTAGTCAAAATGGAAGCCAAATGAAAGGATTATTCTGTATCTTGCTTAACTGTCTGCTGTCTTCCATGCGAATAGTGGTACATGTGTACAACTACAGTGTCTTTATCCGAGTTCCTTAATTACGTTTACTTTCACAGAAGGAAAATATTGTTTTTGCTCTGTTTATTCTTCTCCAAACAAAAAAGTCTATGGTCTGGACCAGACATCTGTCACCATGGTAACTGGTGTTGTAGCAGACACTGTTGTGTTGTCAGGTTACATTATGTAGCAAGTTGCAGGACAGAATTAAGGCTGGTCATCATATATATTAATGTGTTTGAGGAAGAATAAACACAGCAGTAGTTTGTTGGACTAGACCATGTGAAGGTAAACATGATGTATTTTCTTTGCAAATGCTACCTTTCTAGTTTATTTTGTGTTGTATAATGTTCCATTTTGATGTCTAACCTTTATCGACGTAATCTTTCCGGGCCATCCATAACCTAAACCATTGCAGTTGTAGATTTTACAGCCACTTCAATGAAATGTATGCTGACTATAGATGTATTTACTCCCTGCTTATGTGATGGGTTTATCTGCAATAGCTCCTGTAGAACAGTACTTGCCATATTGCTACTACCTGTACTGCCAATAAACATTATTTTTATACCTGAACCATCAGAAGTGTCAATTGTTCTTGCTACCTGTGTCTGTTTATACAATCTATTTCTACTGAGACAGCGACCGTTGAACAATTGAAATATCACTAGTAGGAAAAACTTTTTTCGATGAAGAAGTGTCAGAAGATTGATTGATAAATGTGTGGAACTCTCCTTTTCAGTAACTTTTAAGTGTTCTCAAAACCCAGGATAGATTAAAATTTATCAACATTCCAACTATTGGGTTCCACGACCTCATACCCTTGCCAAATGATAATAACTTTGACAAGTGTTGACAAAGTGTTTTAATTGATTTTGAAAAGGTTCTCATTTGCATGACCTGTGTCAGTTGATCATATTCTTCACATAATGTCAGTCTTACCTCAGAAAGAGGGCTTTCCTACACTTTCCTCATAAATTATGCAAATTGGACCCTGATTTGAATAAGATGTGTACTATTGTTTGTCTTCACTTGATAGGGTTATGTGGAGTGAAATATGTACTCGTTTGGTCCCGGCTAATACAGGTCGCTGATGATGATGAAAGTAACCACCAGTGCGCATGCTACTAAGGCTTAGACTAAGGTGCCATGTGTGATCCAATTATCTCAACAACCAATCAGCAGGGGAAACCATCACCTGGGCATGCATAGTCAAAATGGTCACACACATCAAATATGGTCGCACACTGCTACATCTATATTCTACAAGGAGAGCCTCCAGACTAGCAGTTGACCGCCAACTGCCCCTCCCCACGACACCCTAGACGGTTTAACAGTTAAAGTGAGCGGATAAAGTAAAAGTAAGTACTGTTTACAGTTAATTCTGTTCTGAAAACGGCCAAAAAATCCCAACTCGTACAATTTTACAGGGGAACATCATGCCAAAATGTTTATTCAACCTTAGATGTGAATCTTATAAAAGTTTCATATCAACACCCACAGCTTCTGTTCACGTTTTTACCTACGAAATACACGTGCACGTCAAATACGCGTGTACCTTGATTACATTAATAATATATACTTGAGTGAAAACTTGTCTCAAATGTATGTTTTTGAAGTTATCTGCACGCCTTGGACATAACCATAATCTTAAAGGCAGATGGATGGATGGATGGATGGATGGATGGATGGATGGATGGATGGATGGATGGATGGATGGATGGATGGATGGATGGATGGATGGATGGATGGCACTAAAACAACACTAAACAAGGCACTAAATTGTTAGTGAAAAGTGACAGGAGACTGTAGTTACTCGCCACTGTTACTATTGATACTGACTCATCAACGCGCTCCAAATTAAAGATACATGAAAGTAACGATGCTTGGTCACGTTGCAATAACATCAAATAAACTAGTGATTGTAATTGTCTGGCACTTCAAACACGGAAATAATAAGCTAGATATTAAGTTTTGCTTTGTCATTTCCTTCTAGTGTAATTTTGTAATTTCGTTCTGGCGTAATCATAACTGCCATGCAAATTGGAAAGGGAAAAAATCATGTTTACCAATGAACACACGCGTACAAACGATACACCGAGTAAAGAGTAAAGTGTCCCTTCGATGAATAGATTTATTCTAGGCTCTGGATACAGTCCGTCAGTCATTCTTCGAGTTTCTGGCTGCACAGTGCCTCGCATCAAGTACGGTCGATACTTAAGCCCGGCAGACTCGACCAAGGAATTTGGCCGGTATCCTTCTCTTTTGCGGGTACATGTATATAGATTTAAAGCATCGACATAGCGACAACCTGTTTGACGTTGCAGGTAGCCAATCTGCATAGTTCATCAGTACCTAACATAATCTCCAGAGAGGAACTTTCAGAGCATGGCTGATGACGGTCCGACCTCAGACATGGCAGCAGAAGGCACCGCATGCGGTTTGTCGAGAACCGACACTAGGCCAGCAGTTCCTTCGAAAAGAAGGTGGAACACTTCACGGCAAGTTGACAGCGATGGATACAAGGGAGACGACGAGGACGATGATTATGGCGTGTCTGTGAAAAGTGATGTTGCAGCAGGAAGCGGACATGCGACTGGAGGTACCACCCCTTCTGGCGATGCCGATGTCGAAGCGTATGTCGCCGCATACATGTGCAAGGAGGACGTGGCGTTCATCAAGACACTTTCAAAGGGCATACGAACAAAACAGCTCATCAAGAAACCAAAGACAGCTTCGAGAGAACGAATTGAAATCTCAACAGCATGCGAGTCAACCCTGACCACCCCAGCCTCTGTTGGTGATGTTAGGAACACGCTTTGCATTCGCCACCCATCCGATACCCTTCCTCCAAATGCCGTCGGCCAAAGAAACGCCCGGGATCCAAGTCCTACGTACAACCAAAACACCACAAATTTGCAAACTCCGAATCCGACGTATTCGCCAAAGCGGCTGCATGCCCGCATTGAACCTGACTTTGACTTAGACAATCCCTGCCTCCAGCCAGAAAATGCTTCATTTCAGGAAAGTGGTCAAACCACGACTGCACAAGCTCTGGGGCAGCGGCGCCATGACCACCCTCAACCCGGCTTAGGTTCAGACAATCCCTGCACCCAGCCAGGAGCGCTAGCAGCGTCATTTCAGGAAGATGGTCAAACCATGGCCACTTCTGCACTAGCTGTGGGCGATGGCCACATCCAGCCATACGCCGTTAGATCGCGGGAAGAAGAAGATGATGTTGATATTACGCCGTATGCCGTTGCCTACATGTGCCAGGGCGACACTGACAGCACCGAGGAGGACACGAAAACGCCTTCAAGCAGCGACGTCGACACCGACGTGTTGCAGGATAGCAGGCAGGCGCCCGTGCAGAACACATTGAACCCGAATCCGAGGTCCCTGCAAAACGCATTGAGTCGGAATCCGATGTACGTACAAAACGGATTAAACCCGAATCCGGTGCCAAACGCTGTTCAAGAAGCTGCTTGTGGTGAGACACGTGCACATAATTATTCGTTTCAAAGTTGTCAATTTCTCATACCTGTACTTGATTTAAAAGAAGCGTTTGGGAACTACGTGTGTGTCTGTGTGTGCATGCATATGTGTGTGTGTGTGTGTGTGTGTGTGTGTGTGTGTGTGTGTGTGTGTGTGTGTGTGTGTGTGCATGCATGTGTGTGTGTGTGTGTCTATGTGAGTGTTTGTGTGTGTTTGTTTGTTTGTTTGTTTGTTTTGTGTGTTTGTGTATGTGTCACAGTGTGTTCGTGCATGTGCGCGCGCGCGTGTGTGTTGTATATATCAAATCCTATACTGCGATTTCTTGAATCTCTGTTAACCTTTCTTTAAAGATGCCATGAAAGAAACTTTTTTTTTTCAGTGTGTACATCCCGATGGGTTTGCGCTGCTGTAACCGCCGCCGTGGTGCTGGTGTTGCTGATCCTCGTCGGGACCCTTTCCGGGCTGTGCCTCAACACCGGCGAGCAGGGCACTCAAAGGGCGAGCCTGTGTCTTTCATTCTTCTTCTTTTCATATTAAAGGCATCCAATGCAATTTCAGAGCGGCTAACTGAATTTTCAATTTCAATTTTCTTGTCATTCTTTAATGTAGTAAGTTTAATCAATATTAATCAATTGATGCTGCTGACGGAAAAAATTAAAGTTCCTTGATTAGTATCGTTGGTCGGTTCTAACTGTTTATGGGCGGTACCCAGAAAATAAGGAGACGTCTCGTGTAGCTTGTTCTCTCTTTTCAGGTATGAAATTATGACGAAACGAAATGGCAGTAAA